TGGCAGTGGCACCTCCCCAACAAAAATGTTTATGTTTTTATACCGAATACGTGTCAGTGGTCATTATATTTATCTTTGATACGTAGGGGTACTGATTATGGCTGTATAAACAGGGAGATCTCAAAAACAAAGAGCAAGCTTATGTAGGAGGTGAAGGTAATTGATTGGGGGAAAGCTAATCCTGATCATTCTACAGTGTCTCTTTAGGTTTAGCTCAAAATAACTTTCAAAGTTTTTCTAGATTAAAAAAAAAATTGAGCATTCAAAGTCCAAACAGACATTAGATCATATTTATGAGACTGTTATTAACTAATAACATTTTTATTGTGTCTTGATAGACAGTTGTAAAGATAATGCCAATCGAGTTCCTTTCATTCATTCCCATATCCGAGCTGTCTAAAAATGAGTAACCAGTAGAACTAATCTTTTTTCATCCAAATTGTTCTTTGCAGCGGTTTGCAGCCTTTTCCCGTCCCAAAAATGGTTCCATGCTATAGAATAGATAGTAAATTCGCTCAAGATATCGGTCGGTCGAGGTGCAGAGTACACCAGAACTGGGGCTCCAGTGGAGTGGAAGAGTGTGTCTACAACTGTGTAGTGCTTATTAGGCGTTGGGCTTTGACGGTCAGTTTGGAACGAGCTAGTGCCGAAGTCGAGTTGCTTCGCCATCGAAGTGATCCTCCTACACGAACATTTATCAGAAGGCTTTTTGGAGGTCTCTGCTCAGACTCATTGCTTGCCGATGTTTTATTTTTAATAGAAGCTTGTCATCGTGTGTTTACTCGCTCCTCTCCGTCGCTCGTAGCTCTCTAAACTCTTGTTGGTGATCCAGCCGCTTCTGACAGAAAGGGGCAATCAATTGTCGAGCAGCCAGCTCCGGGCAAAGTTTGTGATAATTAGTTGCTGGTGTTGTGGTCGCGGTGCCCGAGATTTGCGCCGGCAAATAAAAAATGCCAGAAGCGATTGAAACAATTGTAAAATCCAAGTGCACAAATAATTCACCACAAAAATAGAGTGTATGTGTGCCAATCCGCAAAATTCTCACGCTAATCAAAATAAAAGGTGTGCAGTTTTTGGGTGCAAAATTTAATTGGAAATTCCCGAGGAAAGACCCGAGAAAGATCTGTAAAAAGGGTTACATGTGAGTGACATTTTCGAATTAATTGTGCATGTTTGAGGTCAGCGCCTTGATCTGATCTCTGAAAGCAACCTTCCCTCTTTCCTATACCGTGACGCGGCAGATGCTATTTTGGAACGTGCGCCAGGACAGGAAGCAGAGGGTATCTGGCGTATTCTGCCTTCTGCATTCTGGTATCTTCCTCCTGTCTACAGTCTTCCGCCACTTCCGCTGCACATTGCAAATTGCGCTCGCGTGCTGCGAGGATGAGTTCAATCTGAACCCAGGGCGGAGTGGAGTTGCAGCTTTGGCTGGTATTAAGTTACGATCTCTAGTTCACGCCTCCTCCATCTCCATCCCTCGGCAGAGAGGCAAAATTATCCTCGACGGTTTGACCTTGCCGTAATAGTAGTCCTGACCCGGATGGCTGTCTCACTGATTTTGACTTGAGAACTCGCAGGATAGGTATTCCCCTGCTTCACTTATTTGTCCGTGCTTAGGTTCAAAGAGAGAGAAGGACGACTTCCGCTCCGCCTCGAGACGCGAATGCAAAACAATGGAACAGCAGTCGGAATAGGAATCAAAAGCGACTGAATTGGCAGTGGGTTGGGAATCACTATATAGCATTCACAGCGAGTTCTGGCCCGTCAATAGTACGCACACAGTTAGAGTTTCTAGGTTTACAAGATCAACGGAGCCTGATACCCAATCGACTACAGCCGAGGCCACAGTAATAGGTAATGGAGAGCTTTCAGCCATTGGGAACACAGAACTAGGAAACGGTAGCCGTACTTTCTGGGGGCTTAGCTTTCTCAGCTTTCACATTTTGTGGATTTTTTCAATTTTAAATATTTCATTTAGTGAATGAATAATATAGAACCCTCTTTTTTAGTGAGAGCCTTTAAGAACAAACTTCATTTCTTCCTGAAAGGTTCATGTTAATGACCTCGATTATACGAAAAACGACATATTCACATGCTGAAACTACTCACATGAACCTTAGTTTTTGTTGTGCCAGAAGAAGGGCATTCCATCACACTCAACCCGCCACTTAAACTCCGACCGAACAATGGCAATATGGGGACCGAGAAGACTTGATTTTTAAAAGAACTTTATTTTCCTCAACTCCTCCAGCTTGTAAAAAGCAAGAAGCAGGGTAAATCCTTTGTTCTGGTGCAGACAGTTAGAGTCAAAGATCAGCATCCTGCTGAGTTAATTACTGCCAACAGGACTTCCACAGAGACAAGCCGGAGTCACTGACTCAGAATGGAACTCACTTGGAGTCCGTTTTTTCTTCATACTACTTTTATACTTTTTAAAGGAAGAGGTCTGGCCTCGGGACATTCAGCTGATCTTTAAGCGATGTTCGTTTCCTTGTTTTGGCGCGGTAAAATTCAAATTTCAGCTGCCATTGCTAGGGAGCTTATACATAATTATAGAAGGATTACTTATTTATATTTTATAGTAAATATTCGTGCATATTAATATTAGAAAGGGTTCAATTTTTAGCTTGCGATTATACTGCAAATTTATTTTTTCCTTTTTTACCACAATGAACTGAAATCCTTTGTTTGATTTAAATTTTATTACCTTTCGCCAACAATGACTATCTGATAATTCATGGTTATGCATTTGCTTAGACCCTCCCCAATTGTCGGCTAATGAATTATGGCCTATCTTGCGCGAAAGGGGCCAGTGACAAGGCCAGTGAAAAGCAAACGAGACCAGATCGAAATGCAAATAAAGATACTCATCGCTTGTATCTTTCTGGCGTTTTCATGTGTGATGAGTTATGCGACAAGAGGTGGCTCGTTGTCGCTTATGTTGTTTTAATTTAACACTATTAGCAGCAGAGTCAGGATTTCAACCCCTAGCGCCCCCTTTGTTGGCGATGACACGCCACCAATATATTTAACCCGCACCCCTCCGCCTATTTCTCTGTCCCGTATGCACTGAGGTCTTAATTGAGTGGTGCTGTTTGACAAACGCAAACAGATACGGATACACAAGCACCAGAGTTACAGAACCAGACACTGATACGTCGGGCTGACACGTTCTATAGGAAATTTGTATTTTATGGGCGCCCCTTCCAGCTGGGAAAGGGGAAAGGCCCGGGAGTTAATGGCCTTCAAGTGTTCATGCAAATAAATAACAAGTGAAAAAATTTATGACCCAATCACAATGAAATGACATATATAGGGCCTAAAGTGGGCTGAACTGATCTCTTCCGATTCTTGGCTTACCTTCGTTGGTAAAAGGCGATGGGAACGATGTCTATGACGGCATGTCTTTATCACTAGGAAGAGTATAATAAGAATATCCTTAAATACTTACATAATCCTTTACTTAAAAAGCGTATAAAAGTGTGGTGTTTTTTGGGAATCCCCCATTTTAGGAAGTCCCCCACTCACTATTACTAGGCCAAACACCAAACAACATTTAATTCCACCCCAGAAACACAAAAAAGTGCAGGCCCCAAAAACTTTAACGACAGATACGAAATTAAGTTGCCGGCCAAAAGGCAAAAAGCCCATGTACCTGTCACTCCGGCCTCCTTGAAAAAAAGAGCAAACACAAGGCAGAAACCGAGAGGGAGAACTGTGGGGGAGAAGCCAGGAAATCAGCCCGGCACACTTTGCCCCAAAGTCCGCCGCAGGCTAAAAGTCGTCGTCGCTTTCAATTATGGCTGGGAGTTCTCTCTGTCCTGCAAACACTCACCCACACACTCATATACACAGGTCGAGGGGCAAAAAGGTACGAAAACACGTATACCTAGAGCAGAAGGTAGCAGTCAGCACCCACACAGGACCATTAGCTTAATGTGTGCTTATTGCGCACGCTTTGGAGAAGCGACGCAGCGAGTGGCCAAGGGGGCGAGGCGAATCCATGCTGAGGCCGAGCTAACCCAAAGCTCCCACCGCCCCACAAACCGAAATAGATGCTAAGGATATGGAAACCACAATCCCGGGCAACTTTCCACTTTGTTTGACTAAGATGGGAGGGGAGGCAGAAGCGGGGGTTTTGGGGAGGGGTGTGTGGTGACTGGTGAGTGGGTGGAGGGGCGGTGGGTGGTGTCTGGACCAACCGCAAACAATCAAACACTAGAGCGCAACAGAGACAGACACACGACCAGCATTCCAAAGAGAACAGAATCCGTATCTATGTATCTGTATCTATGTATCTGTATCTGCGCCACCATTTCTGCGTGTCTGCAGTGGAGAGCATATAGATGTCTATATATAGCAGAGTGCATAATGAATGCGAAGATGTGACCGCCCTATTATCCTGACTCCTCCCTCAATGCAGGCTGCTCTTGTCTGTGTATCTCAGAGATACATAGCCACACTCTGATAGGGAAAACCGAGGGGTAAATAAGGCGATGCTCTCTCGTGGACGCCCCATCTCCCTCTGGCACTCTATATCGCTCTCCCTCTCTCCTCCGTGTGGATTATCCTTTCTGTGGCTGCTGGCTCTGAGGATTCGAGTCAGAGTCACAAGTTTAGATAATAATAATGACTGGGAACTGACACAGATTCCAAAGGGGCGGAAAAGAGAAAGACCGTGCGAGACAGGCAGTGGGAGGGAGAGAGATTCGCCGCAAGAGAGGCTAAGCTGGAAGGATGCTGTTCTCTCGCACTGTGCCATGGTCTCTCTGCAGTTTCATCCCCTAGGTCCTCGGCCTAGGAAGACATACAGGACATCAGGCCGATCTCTGGGGCAGATGAGTGGCAAGGGGCAGGAGGGGACCCACCCCCGGAACTCGCTTGCGGCAGCCAACCAGCCGGAGATTCCGATTTCCCAATCCCACCCGAAAATCCCCATTCAACTGGCAAGCGGAGAACCCATCATCGGCGTAGCATCGCATCCTCCAGATAGTTCAGTTTTCACTTTGTTGCCGTGCCGAGCGCGCTGGCAATCGCAATCGGAATTGGAATCGAAATCGGAATCACAGTCGTGGTCGCTGTCGCAGTTGCTGCCGTCGTCGCAGCCGCAGTCGCAGTCTCAGTCAACGCCTCTGCCACAGTTTACTTCACAGACACAATTCCGTTGCGTTCTGTTGTGTTTTTTTGCGATATCGCTGGTGGCACTCAGTCTTGCGAAGACACCCGACAGATAGAGACGACACTCCAAAAGTAGACGCAATCCGGAAAACTCCCCACTTCGGAGAATCGGAAAATCGGATCCACAACACATCAAGTATACGCAGTGATGTTGCGCCGCGTGTTATGAAAATACTTACAAGCATTTTGTGGCATTTGTTAATTGTGATAGTTACACGTAAAGTTTGAAAACGACAGCATCATGCTCTTCGATCGATACGTCATATCAGGTTGGTTTCTGCAAGTCGTGATAATGTAAACAAGTTCGGTGTGCCGCGACTCAATATTCAACAAATCCGCAGAACTGCGAACTGGACAGTCGGTTACGAAGTGACTTACAGTGATTGGCATGGACTCGAAATAGCTCTTCTTCTGAAGAGCTTACTGATGGTTTAATACTATTTGGGAATTCGCGAGAACCAAACTAAAAATCCGTTTGAAAATTTGTGAAAAACTCTATTAATACATTGAACACTAGTCACGAAGTATTTGTATTCAATCGTATGATTAAGATTTCAGGCCATATCCCTTTATTATTCTGATTAAAACAACTAAAATAGCTCAATCGAATCCATTCAGTTTTTAGTTACCTAACATGTAGTTGCAATCAAAAGCAAAATGTTCTTTCTTGTTACATTTTAAGAAGTCGCTCTGTCAGTTTGCCAGCCCTAAAACATCTTTTAATCCTCCCCTAAGTTAATTCATTTGTCGCCCAACTTTTAAGTGGGCAAGTAAACACTGGTAAGCCCTAAGTAAACCAATTAAAATCGATCCCCACTTATCACCCTGCCCCCACACGCTGGCAATTAACCATTTATGGTCCACTTTATCAGCCAGCCAGCGCCAAATGTGATTACCTAAAAAACAAATTAGTCGAAGGTTCCTCCGATTAACAAGGCAAGAAACTAACCAAAACACATGTGTGTGGTTGGGTAAGAAACAAAAAGTAAAGTGAATAACAATTGGGTTGTCAAGTAATCGCAAGGATAACCCGGGGATGAGTGCACTTGAGTGGGTGCGGTTGGATAAAGAAACTAAGGGCTCCGTTTGAAGTGGCCTACTTCAGAAATATTTCGCTGAATGGTGTGAAGCCGCGGATGCTGTCGGTCCGCAGGTTCTCGAAATAGAAATAGAACCGGAATTGGAATAGTTGTTGAAATCGAGCGTGAAGGATGCTGGGTAAACAAATGAAGGGTGCCGTCGCTGGACATGCGAAATGCGGCAGGTTGAGAGCCGAAAGTGTTTGTTTTTGTGGCACATTGTTTGCGCCTGCTTTGTGGTTTATTTATATGGCCGATACTTATCTGGTTCTTGGGTAGCAGTAACACTAACTGTTACCATTACTATTACCGTTACCGTAGTGTTGCTGCCCTGTCCTTATCTGCTCGGAACGCTGTCATATTTTGTCTAACAGCTCAAATTACGATTTAGTGTCGAGTGCTCGAACAAGGCGGATGGACAAGACAAGAAACCAAACACGAACCCGAAACCAATATCAATAATCGCCGGGTAATTTGTGCGTGTTTCGAGCCCCCCGATTATCTTTATATTGGTTGTTAGTAAAAAGTCTGGCAACTTGGCGATGCACTTCTCAGACATCCTTAACAGACATCTCTATCCTTGACTTTTTTGTCACTCAGTTGTCTATATGGGGCGAGCAGCAGGACAGGCTCCATCTATTTGTGCTCCTGGCTTCAGCCGACTCGCAGTGAACCGAACGAAATCAAAGCTATTTCATCGTTAATTCGTATTATTGTGTCAACAAAATAGTTTAAATATTTGTCTAGCCGGACACTTATCCAGTTCTCTATTTGCTCAGCCTGCTCGGTGGAAATCGGAAACGGTGCGAAGTAACAGATACTCCCCGTTCGCGGGAAGGGTAAAGACCATAGACACCTGTCTTGCGGGAAGATACGGCTGTTCCGATACGATTGTATAGAGTGGGTGAGTGATAGGAGGCCCGGGAACTGTCAGTGCATTGCAAAATCGCACGGAGATACTCCCTGAAATGAAACCTCTACGACTATGTTGCCTTTATCTGTTTATTATTTTTGGGACTCACTTGACAGGCGAACAACTGAAACTGATTAGGATTAGTGGTTGTCGAGTGGCGACAGCGGTCGGAAAAGTCACATCTAATCGGTGTCTTTCTTCTACAGCAGGCTCCAACGGCAGTGACGACTTCGACCCAAGTGCGAGTGTTGTGCGTCACCACCATCTCCACCACCCCCACCTGGATCTCAGTGGGAGGAGTCAGGGATTCCCGCTGGATCAGATCGAGGACCCCTTCGCCAGTCGCCATCCGCAGGCAGAAGGATCTCCGCCAAACAACCAGGACCATCCTCTTTTACAAAACCATTCCAATCATCTCCAGCTGCAGCCCCCGCCTCCCACGTTGCCGGCTGAATCGGCCGCCGCTGTCGGACCCGCCGCCCACATGGAAAACTTCTTCAAAGACCCCGCCCAGGCGGAGCAGCTCCTACAGGAGTGGGCTCGGAGGCGCGAACCCGTCTGTGATCTGGACATCCGCGAGAGCGGCGTCTACGCAAAGACCCCACTACCAAGGGGCACCCGGTACGGACCTTTTCCGATGAACCTCTGCCACCAGCCGAACGATATGCAGCTGGCGTGGAAGGTGAGTGTAGGAGAATCGCCTTCAATTATTAATTTAAACAATGATTCCCCTTAAAGAAGGGTTCCATAGCTTTTGAGGGGATTGATTCGATTCCGAGTAGTGCAGTTCCCACTTTGAAAAGTATCACAAATAAATTTCCGTTAAAAAATCAAGACACTTAGGTATTAGGGCTGATTATTTAAAGTCAGACCTTCTGGTTTAAATCACAGTACATACCAGAACTGTACTAAAAATTTCTTACTATATTTTTAGTTTTTAACCGAAAATTCGTTAGGGCCAGGTATGAAATCTTTTCCTGACATTTTTATTCACATGTGTTAGGATTTCGACAATCTCGAATTTCCTTTTTTTCTCGGGCCATCGGGAAACTTAATCCTATCAGAGCCAGACCATTTTTTATGTGCGAAAATTGCGCAAAAATTGCCACCGAAATGAATCTTTCTGGGTATTTTTCGATTTTTTTTGGGGGTTTTCGCATAGAAAACCAAACGATTGGAAAGAGATTTGATTAGAGCGATCGTTACCGCGGCCGGGGGTAGAGTATCAATTGTCAGTCAAATGTGCCTAATCCGTAGCCAGAGCTAATTTACCTTCGCTGGCATGGACGGAGTGGAAAACCAGGACGAAAATCCACAAAGTGCACCCCAAATGAGGCTTAAGTCGAGGCCGGCTGATGATTCCAATTAGGGATTGGGATAGGGATGGCAGGGAGGATCGCCCGAGGAACCGACGACGAAACCCCTTGATCGGTTGTCAGTCAGTCAGTCAACTGACACTTTCCTCCCTCCTGGAGACTATAGACTATAGGATGCAGACAATCCAATCAAATTATCGCGCCTCGTCCTGTTGACAATTTGTAGCCGGCAGATCCCTTCGTTTACCTACGCTTGCGAAAAAAAGAAAATATTGTTTCTGCCACTCGAGCGAAAATTGCAAAAATAACAGAACTGCAGATCCCTTTTTGCGTTTCTGCGTTTAGGTCCTGCCTTTTATTCCTGGATGATCCTCAAATCAAGCGCACTTTTCTAGTTCACATTTCCGTTTTGACAGATACATTGGCCGGGTATCTTTCTGCCACCGATCAGCCACCGTTCCACACTCTGATCCTTCGGGAGGATGAGGTTCTGATCTGGCAATTCGAAGCCAGTTCCGTCGACCCAACACTTTGAGATTATCTCTGGCGCGTAAATATTTTTCTTGCCCATTGACTGTTTCATGTTTTGCTCCTGCTCCTGCTCCTTTTTAATAAAGTTATGAATAGGCAAGGACATGTGTGATGCCGTCGGGGGATTATCGACGGACAAAACCGGCAACGGGCTCTGTTTGCCAAACTGTCACTAGTTCCTACAATTCGACAATTGGTGAGGAACGTTTGTCATGGATCTGTGCCTAGCCTTATGATGATCTTATCATTTTTTAGTGGCTGCATCGGATTGCAATTTCCGTTCAGGTTTTAAATAGCCTAGATAGTGTGATTCGAATTGTTTTCAGAGAACTACCATATGTGGAATGTGGGAAAATTAAAGAATATTCGCTAGGAAATATCTCCCGTTATTTAAAAATCTTGAACAGGACGAAAAGTGTAGAATATCTTGAGGTACTTATGTATGGCGAAGTTATACTTATAGTTCCCATTTATAGTTCTTAGTTTTAATAAAAAGCTTCCCTTGCTAGGTGACGATTTTAGTAGCCCTTCCAATTATATTTTTGTAACTATAACTTGTGCGAATTTCCCCCGGTTCGCAACACAGACTGCAACCTACTTGTTTGGCCAACCACTTGAGGACAACGAACCCCACCCACCATCCAATCCCCTCATCCTGGAAATGCTAAGTTTATTTCATTTATTTATTTTATTTTTTCACGGCATATTCCGCGGGGCAGAAGAGGCCTCTTGAGGCGTTGTTAACTTAATTTTTGGAGCGTGCACACATATGCCGCAGGCTCACCGCTCTCTCTTCCTGCCCATGGCTTCTCCAGTCCAACCCCCCTCAGAACACACACACACACCACTTAATCAAAACTGTAAAATGCCGTTTTTCCAAACGACTTCATAGACAAGAGCCTGACGGCGGCGGCGGCTTAAACGTTGCGCATACGCAAAGTCATTCAGTTCGGTTTTTGTGGGTTTTCTGTTTGTCGAGTTTGATTTTTTTCTTTTTTTAATTTGCCTCCGAGTTTTGGCGTCACAGCGTCTAAGGCGGTGGTTTTCTCAGTGGCAGCCACAAAAAAAAAAAAAAATTAAAAAACCGACGGCAGCCGCCGCCAACGATTTGTGCAAATTATGCGTGTTTTAGGCTGGCGCCGTCGCTTTTATTTTGTAAACAAAACTGTTGGCGGTTTTTTGTCCGCTCCCCTGTGTCATTGTTTTTCAAACATTTCTTCTGTTCCTTGCCAGTGACCTTGCTGAGTCGGCAGACTAGTCCGCGGCCTTGTGCCTTCCAACGAAGGATTTTTAGACGGAGACTCACGTTACACATTTTCTTCTAATAATTTAATAATTAGTGAATAATTATAAAGACATTCTGTGATAATCAGAAAAACCCCATTCAACCATAGCATGGGACCCAACCTGGCTGTTTCAGGTACACCATATTGTAGTGTACCTAAGAGGTTCGTGTCTTGGCTTTCCAAAGACATTTCCTTCAGCGCTAGGTGGCGCCAGCAGTCTTGTCATAGATATGAAACAAAAGTACTCAAATAAATACATTCATTAGTTGATAATTAAAAGTTAAGAATTGAAACCCTCATTGTTTTATTTTATTTCAGGCCCAGGCCGGTCACTATAACGGTTGGCTCGAGCCCACATCCGAAGTCTCTGCGTGGCTGAAAAAGATCCGCGTGGTGCAGGACGAGGGCATTTCAAAGGCCAATTTGCAGAGCTACATCAGTGCTGGCTGTGTGAGTACCCCTTTCCGCTCCCGCACGTGTCAGCATTATTAACAATTATGTTTTCCCTTTTTTTGTAGCTGTGGTACGAGACGAATTGCCACGTAAGTGCTGGTGTCGAGATGGTCGTGGACGGCAGGCCCCACAGTCCGGTGCAGATCAACAAGAGCTTCGTGACTGGAGGGGGAGTCCTGGCGGCGGCGGCCGCGGCAGCAGCCGCAGCGGCAGTGGCAGCCTCCTCCTCCTCGGGAGCGAACTGTGGGGGCGGGGGCAGCTCCCTGGCGGGCGACGATCGCAGTGACCGTGATAATGGTGAGTACTTCTCCTCAAAATAAAAAATGTGTGTAAAAAACTAGGGTGTCCTCGCACCGAAAACTGACCCAAAATTGAATTCGCCTTTGATTGTCACTGAAAACAATGCCCACAATAATACATACGTGCGTCGTATGCTGGTGTGGCTAATAAACGCAGCTGTGGCGCCGGGCAATTAACGCGTAACGCCACCACTGTGGGTCAGGTCAGAATATCATGTCAACGCCAGATTCGAGATCCGGTGGCAGAAATGCTCGTGACGTCGTTCCCGGCACGAGCGGATGCAATCTGATACGATCTCGGGCAGCCGGCTCAGGGCTCATGAGGGCTCAGCATCCCTCAGGGAGCACCCTTTTCTGGCGGCTCAGCCACCCCTAAATGCGATCAATTTGTGCGCAAGCGCCCATGCAATATTCCGGCAACCGCACATGTTTTCATTTGTTATTAAAATGTTTGATAATTTCATTAGCGATCCATCAGCAAACAAAGGGTCCGAGATTGTGCCGCCGATAGAGAACGAATATCCTTCGGATGTGTGTGCTGCCGACAGTCAAAATGACACACGCTCAATTTAAGCCTAATCCTGCGACCCTGACGGGGAAGCCGAGGCGTGTTTGATTATAAACATGTGGGATTTATGGATAGCTCATTGGGCGTTTCACACTCTTTCTCTGTTTCTGTTTCTGATTATCACGAGTTTAAATCTTACTCTGCGACGTCACAAATATTGTTTTCGCCAGCGAGTCGGCTTAAAATTTGAATATATAATGAAGTTAATGGCAGCAGCCATATGCTTATCTGACGGATCATGGCTGCCTTACAACAGTGTTGCATTAATACTTCTCAGTTTTTCAATCCAATCCAAACTGTCAAGCTTGTTTTTAAACCCGCTTTCCCATTAAAACATGGCACCTGTGAAGGACCACCACCCTTTCCACTTCCCGTTCCCTCTGGCTTTTTAACGTATTTTCGGGCAAGTTTTCTCGTAGTTTACGGTCGGCCGGTCGGGGAAACTCATTCCGCCGGTCCCAGGGCGAAGACGAGGTCCTTGAGCGCACCAGATGTCCTCGTCGGCCAAAGGCTACGTAGGCCACTAGTGCAGCACGGGGGTGGCAACGCGATCAAAGTCACGGAAAAGAAAAGGTGCCAAGCTGCGCTGGAAGTGTGGTTGAAACGGTAGCAAGCTAGGATCGGTAGGTTCAGCTTATTCCTGAAAGAGGGAGTGCAATTCTGACCGTTACTTTTTTTAAGGAATATTTAATGAGTCCTGAGCATGAGAATTTTCAACTATGATAATGCAAATGCAGGGTTGTATCGAAACAACAGCAGGTCCTGAAAAAGTGCTGTCTAAATGGGAAAATGTAAAACACTTATATCATAAAGCTTAAACTAACTATTCTAATCAAGTTTAATAATCCACATAAAATACCTTACGAGAAGTTGTAAACAAGAAACCATTCTCCAAATCAAATACAAACACTTTTAAGATGGCTTTCGGCTTAAGCAGCGGCCGTTCTTCAATCGACCAATCAAACAATGGGACAAGCCGTACACAAAACACATTTAGATACATTCGTATCTGCGCCTGCCAACTGGCAGAACACACGCCAAGACCAAGCCCATAAACGAAATCTTAACTAACTCGCAGATACAGCCTGACAGTTTGTCGCCAGAGAGGGACTGATGGATGATTAATGAGAAGGGAGGCTGACAATCGAAAAGCGAACTAAGCTGAAAAGAGCTCGTGTCGCGTCTTCGACTAAATGATCATCGTGTGTCAGTTTCGGGCATCATTAGGAGTGCCACCTAACCCTTTATTCTGTTTTTTACCCAGCTTGTTAATAACAAACTGCTGCCAAATCGATTAGCAGGCGGATCTAACTTTGATTTTGCAGCGGAGCAGCGGCGGCACACTGTAAGGTGTAAATAATTCAATCAATCATTTGTCAACAGATTCGGCTTCCGTTTAGCGATTGATATAGCCTCCGATTCGAATTCCGATTCCGACTCAGACTCAGGGTCAGACAGTGGCTTTTGGCTGCTAGCCAGTGGCGGATTCCGGGGAATGTAATTGGCACGTCAAAGAGTTGTGCCCGCCTCCTTTCGATCCACATCCTGCAGAAGCCTTCTCACAATGCATCTATTGAATTGTCAGTCTGTTTTGGTCGGGTAGAAGCAATCTGTCGGATGAAGGACGGATTCAGCTGCCTGAGAATAGAGAGAACTGATGAGGGAATCAGGCGTCAGCCGGTAAAAGGCGTGAAAGGATTGAAAGGATTTGGGAGAAGCTGACAGGGGGCAGGGCCATCGGCGAACGATAAGGAATCGAAGGACTAATGGAGGGTCAGATTCAAAGAGTCGAAGGCAGCGATGGGAGTGTTTAATTGAACCAGAGATTTTGATGAATTGTTTTCGTAAAATACTGGGCTTTATTCAACTAATAAATTCCCTGTTAGATATATTTTGTCTTATGGATATATATATTGTATTGTGAAATAAATAACTTCATATTTTTTCCGCGAAATACAGTCTATTGTGTCTATATCTTAAAATTTTCCCAGGCATACGGAGGCTCGAGGAACCTACCCACCCAACCGCCCAGAACACCATATGTGGTGTCATCTAGTCCTTCCAACTCCCTATCCCACCCCCCAAGGGTGACTCCCTCCCTCTGCTCCTGTTATCCCACGCCTCCCCACCCCAAAACAAAAACAAAGACTAAGTGCCACTCGAGGCCACAAGGAAAAGTCCGAGACGTGGGAATCTTCGCTGCCCTCTGCGGCCATACTGCACACGCTGAAAATTAACTTTTGACCCAAAACAGCAATTACCACTGTACCTCGCGATCGGCCCAGGGGGTGGTTGCGAGGCCAAGTCACCCCCGGCCGTAGGGGGTGGGCTGCCTTGAGAGGCAACACCTGTTTGGAAGCCGGACTTCCAACTCGGTAAGGTGCTATGACTTTTCGAACGAAATCCGTCCAACGGAACCGCTCGTGAAAATACGGAATATGCAGAGTGATTGAGGGTGGCCGAGGTTGGGGGGTGAGTGACTGACTGCTGACCCCTCAGATGTGCTTGCACGCATAATCTTGGTCATCGCCAACATCCCTTAGCGCTGCTCCCTCCTCGGTTGGTGTGTGTGCTCAAGACTCTGTTTGTGTTGGTGTCACCTGGTGGTTGCCCACCCCGCCTGCTAGCGTGCACCCTACCCCACCCCCTTGAGCACCTCCTCAACCTCTGAACTAGCATTCAACACTCATTTCCCCTACGAACTTTTTGGAGGTGAACCGAAAGAAAATCGGATATAAAATAATATTTAAAATATTTACTTAGAAAAAAATATTCCAAGCTATTTATGTATACGACACTCTATGCTATAAATATGTTTCCACTACGTGGTTTTTCTCCGTGCACCCCTGCACTTGGCACCCGCCAGGAGTTGGCCATGTTAACAGAGGCACAACTTTGAGGGAGGGGTGGGGTGGTCAAGGGTGTCTTGCCCTTGCCTTTGCCTTGCTCGCGCTCAGGACAATTATCTATTCAACGTCAAGCTATTCGAGTGCCATATATGAATGCACACGATTTCGTCTCTGCTACCAATTTTTGTTAAATGTTTGCGTGTTTGCCTCTGTGTGTGTAGGTGAGTGTGTGTGTGTGTGTGGTCATATGTCAGTGCGTCCTGGCCAAAAAAAGGACCTGCCGCAGGTTGTTAGCGGGCAAACAAAACATTAGCTCGTCGGCATTATGCTCTGCAGGCGACACACTTGTTCATCAAACGCGGACCCGAACGGTTGTGTACGAAGTGCTCACTCAAAAGTGGAAGCTTAAAGATCGGTCAGACATACCATAGATCAGTGAAAAATATAGACTAGATAGTAGTGAAGATCCCCCCAGAGATTGTGAGTGCGAATGTTTTGATAACCGAAGCTAATCAAAAAATATCTTATTTAAATGTTGTACCTATCGTTAGTTTATTTGATAGTTTCTATGTTTAATTAAAAATCTATAAATCTCTATTTGTTTCAGGCTCTTTGTATAGCGGTGACGAATTCTCCAAAGATAAGAAAAACTCCTCGCTACTCAGCCAGGGAGATATCGACTTCACAGACGACGAAAACGGTTTCGACATACGCTGCGAGGTCTGTGATAAAGTCTATCCGGATTTAGAACGGTGAGTACGAGTGCTGCCTCTGGGCCACTATTAATTGGCCTAACTAGAGACCCCCTGGGAGAATTGCTTTTCGCGTAGGAGAATGTCTGCGGGCGAAATTGCTTTGGCATTTAAAAGGCAGCAGCATCGGCAGTAATCTTAATCAAACTGTGTTGTTGCTCAGCTGCCGAATATAAAACCGCCAAAAACAAGCCCCCAATTAGCTCCCAACTTACCCGAAAGAATTATGGGTGTGCCGCGCATTTATTCGCAAGTTATAGAAGTTGAAAGAGAAATCCGTCCGAAATATAAGCACTGATACAAAGTGCCTGCAAACGTGGCCAAATGCTTAGGATCTAAGTGTCGCAGTGTACTTATATTAGTATGCCTGAGCTTCGGCGGAGATCTTAATTAAAAGTTGATGGCGATAATAGTGAGGCCAATAAAAGCGCCATTAAAGAGTCTTCGGCACTCGGCTGAAAGTGAGAGTGGGCTCTGGAAATGAATTGAAATGGTTTTGGTCTTGATTTGGTTTGGTTTCTTCGGCCTGGTCCGTTCCGTGATTGGTTTTTTATGGACCTAAATGTGCAATCTGTAGGTGTTAACTGAGACTTAATGCTTCTGCATTGGTCTGGCATTTCGATTTCGGGGTTGTGTAAATTATTTCGGTTTACGGTTAGGGGTTTCAGTAGCAGATCTTAAACTTTAAGAGTTAAATCAGATGGAAAAGCGAATAGTTAAGGTGACGAATTTACTTCAAGGGGACTTTTGCAGACTTTGGAAAATAGATATTGGTATGCAGATTAGTTTGTTTTCTCATAGACTTGTTAAGCAGAACACTTTATTCACTCCTATCTCTACACCAATTTGCCCCTATCTCTTCCGACATTAAACATCCTGCCACACAAGTGGTTAATGCAAAAGTTTTGTCCAATATTTACAAACGTTCTTAGCTGTAATAAGTAAGTGACCCAGAAGCACCAACAACACGAGTCACAATTGAGGCAGCACGCAATTGACATTTCTGCGCCGAGGATATAATCACAGATACCCATATATTTAAGTTGAAGTGCTAAAAGCGAGTTTTTTGATTTGATGGTTGGCCGTTCGCCGGAGATGTGGAGCGGATTTCGAGAGTGTGTGTTTACTGTTACAAGAGTGGGTGGACCTCTCCCCGGGCCGCCCCGGGCCGCTGCTTCTGCCACCCCCTGGGGGCACTTATCAGTACTCGTGATTTATTGAATTTTACATGAGGAGCCGAGGATGGAAGGGAAGCTATGTGAGCAATGTCTGCGTGTCCAGGCTGTCTCTCTATTTTACTTTTTGCCATTTATCTGATGTTGAACATGCATGGTCTGAAAGGCAAACAAACGCCCACTCGTGAGGCAAAAGGTGCGGGAGGGGACTGGAGATCGGGGAACTATCAACTCTTCCATGACGATGACAAAAAGAACGAAAGCAAAACAAAGGAAAATGAAAACGTTGCCGCCTCTTGTCGACATCGTTTTGCTTTGCTTTATTTTGAGTGGCTTTTTGCCTTTCTTGCCTCACTCCACCCGCCCACACCGAGATAGGCATCGCACCACCACGCACCGCTCTCGGCCACTGTTTCCTTTCTGGCCGTTTCCCCATCAAGGACGCCTGGCCCATTGGCTGCAGCCGTTTTCCCTCGGAGATCGCCTATCAGCTGGCAGTGCATATTAAATATTGAACATCATTTGACTAATTGACGCCTCCCGTCCAGCAAGGAGGCGGGAGCGGGGTGGGACGTCGCCGAATCCCGGCGGACGCCAAGCACAAAGGCGTGTGAACCGTGGCACATGACTTTGATTGAGCCACGGCGATTTGGGCGAGGGATTCGGCGGCCCGCCACCAAATGTCACAATGCTAATTTCATTTGCGATGACAGGCGGCCAGATAAGTCGGACAGGAATGGAAGCCAGGAAGCTAATGCCACGAAATTTTTTTCACTTTTGATATTTCTTTCCTTTCCAGCTTGGACGATCATTTGGTGGGCGTGCATCACTTCAAGCAGAACGACTTTCCCTGCAAGATCTGTTCGCAGCGATTCTGCTATCGTCCTCTGTTGATCAAACACGAAGCCATCTCCCACAACAATATTCGGAAGTATTCCTGCGAGAATTGCACCAAGGTGAGTTTATGCTCAAATTTAACAGACTAAAGACTAAAGACAATATTAGACAAGCAAAACTAGACTCAGTTATAAGCACAAGTAACTTTTAAGAATGTTTTTTAACAAATTCCGATTTTGAGTTATGGAGGGACCTCACCCGCAAAAGCTTCTGTTGCCGACAACCTTCGGCCGAACGGCCAGAAAACTTACTCAGTCATTAATTATTGTATCAGCCAGGCTTGGCAACTCGAAAAGACTTTTGATTTCAAGCGGATCAATAGCCGCGGGCTGCTAACTTGGCTCTTAAGAGCGGCGCAGTACAATTTACTCCAGCACGCGCTGTATGGCTCGAAATCAGGGCGTGTACTCATCCGAAACCGAAACACTTAAGCGACCCGTAATGACGATTTTCAGTGCCGGGCTTTTATTGTTCATCTTCATCTCGGATGGATGGGGGGTGCCTTTGAATGCCAAAGCCCGAGGCGAAATCGAAGGGCTTGGAGTAGAGGCGACCATCCATCTAACCATGCAACCATCCATCTATCCATCTCTCCATCGAATCATCCAGTCGTCCAGTCGTCCGAGCAAAGAAACATCCATTGATCGCGTAGAAATCGAACGATTCGTTTCATGCGTCATTGTCATCGAGCCCGGGATTTGACTGCGGCATCGACATATTCCAAAGATGCTTTAATGGAATGCTGATAACGATCTTGTGGTCGAAGCAATACCTTTTCTTTCAGCCCAGTACGTCTTTTCCCTTTTCCCATTTCCATTTCCAAATCGAACGGTATTTCAATGTCTGTCCCGAGCATTACAGTTAGTTTACTTAGCGCTCTGTAATTGTTTCGGTGGCATGTAAGTAGCACGCATTGTGATTCCCCCGCTCCTGACCGAGGGAAACCCATCCCTAAACGGGAGCCACTCGGCCCAAACAAATGATGATCGATCTTCTGGCTAGAGACTTTCGCTGGGGTCCGAGCTTTTTACCATCCCAGCGAGGTTTCTTTCCAGGCCCTAAAGAGTCGGGCCTCAGCTGTCAGCTTTGTTTGTTTTTAAGCAGCCGGCTTAAAGCGTTACCAAAGGGATTTGCCACGGATCTACAAGGCTTTGTTCGGGGGCTTAGCTCAGCCCTTTCAGGTCCGTGATCGGCAGTCGGACTGCCGCCCCGTAATGTTTGCTATGACGAACTTTCAAGCTAGGCCTCATCTTGTAGAGCTTTCTAAAACTAAATGGATTCTTTGTCCTTAGGCATTATTTCGATAGCCTCTCGTTTCAAGGAGCCTCAACTCCATTAGGCTACCAAAACTGATCTCATCTTCGGGCCAAAACCCACCGGCCTTTTGCCTGACCCCACGTATGCCTCTGTGGTGCTGCTCCGCTTACTTGCCTCAGCCCCTCACCTCAGTCCATCCCCGGCGTTTCCTCATCCTTTGTGCAGGCCCCTCCGACATTCCTTATCGTAACTGAGAGTCTGGTCCACTTCTCCACCAAACCGAATGCCACAACACCTACACTGAACTCTGCGAAGCCGCGACTGCTTTTTATCTTCCAGATGCACTGCAACAAATAATCAGTTTTGAACAAAGTGTGGAATTATCTGCAAGAATTACGCAAAATTAGGTCAAAGGTAGTGTTTGTTCCATAATGTTATTCGATCTCTTTCAATTTATACAATGAGATAGTTTTTTTTCAGTGCTGTAGTTCCTCCTGCTTTCGGAGGTTGCTGTTGCCGTGGCTATAACACCATGATGGTCGTTGTGTTTTTTCCTCTTTTTGGAGAGTAGTTGAATCTAATCCATTTGATGTAGTTATAGCACGAGCTATTCTTGTGTGTCGCCTCTCTCTGCCCCTGTCTATGAATCTCTCCCCTCCGCCCTCCCCCTCTGGCTTTTGTATGGCTCATAGAGATAGACAAAAAAGGCTGCCATGATCATCGTTTGATATGAATTCGTAGCGCATTATGACAGCATGATTAGGCATAACAGTTTCGTAAAACCAGCGACGGGGGAGTCAAGACTGCTGACCGAAATCCAGTTTGAAGTGGGTACACAAAACTGGATGCCATTGCCGTTCCCCCACGGCCCCGCCATCGTCCTCCCAGGCTCAATCTGTCATTGCCTTCGCCCCCTGCCTCGCCAACTCCCAAATGTAAAATGTGCGAGCTCCACTCGGAATGTCTTGGGTTTAGGGCTGGTCGCAAGTGAGTGGGATCACTTGTTCTTTGATTAATAAATAAGTTTTCACCATAATAAACCAGGGCTATTACTTTTAAATAAGTTAGGAAGTAGTCTTGAGCGTTAATCTTTCAAAATTAATGTTTTAAAACCCGTTGAGGTCCAATATGTTTCATCTCAAGAACTTTTTTCTTGAGCCCCGATTCTCTCCACTTGTTGTCCAGCCCTGACTCACTTTCAGGAGAGTATGTAGATGATTTGAGCCGAGCAATGACAATTGCGGCAATCGATGGTAATAATTGACAAAGGTGTTTCGGCCGCCGCTGCCGGAGGTGGGTGGACGTGGCATTGTTTGTGCTCTGGTTACCTTTGCGTAATAGCGGAGAGCTTCAGCTCATTGTCTAGCCCAGAAAATGGAGATCCGTTTAAGCGGCAAGGCAGCACGGCAGCCACACCACCAGATGATTGATTAATTTCAGTTTCATTTCATTTCGATTTGGCACCAGATCACCCAACCAGTTCCATATTGGATACACTGAGCCAAAATCTCTAAACTCTAAAGGCGGAAATACTTTAATATTCATAGCCATAACTAACAAGTCGTCTTATTTTATTATCTTGTTTTATTTATAACAATTTTTTATATTAAATATATATCGCACACAAACATTAAAACTTTGTTTGCGTGTACACCACTTATTCAAAAACCAATCGCGACTCACCGCCCTGTTTGATCTGTTGTGCAGGTATTTTGTGACCCCTCGAATTTACAGCGGCATATTCGCGCCTACCACGTCGGAGCTCGCTGTCACCCGTGTCCGGAGTGCGGGAAAACGTTCGCCACTTCCTCAGGCCTAAAGCAACACCAGCACATCCACAGCTCGGTAAAGCCCTTTGCCTGCGAAGTCTGCTCCAAGGCGTACACCCAGTTCTCGAACCTGTGCCGGCACAAGCGGATGCACGCCACCTGCCGTATGCAGATAAAGTGCGACAAGTGCAGCCAGAGCTTCAGCACCCTCACGTCCCTGACGAAGCACAAGAAGTTCTGCGACTCCACCGGTTCTTACCGCCAGCCGCTGAACCGCCACCACCCGCATCCGCAGCCACTGCCGCATCACCAGCACCCGCACACCCACCCACTAGCAGCCACCGCCACATCCTCAGGCGCAGCGGGAGAACCCTCAGGACCGGGATCAGGTTCAGTGGAAGGATCATCAGCAGCAGCTGCCGCCGTAGCCGCCATGTCGACGCCTCCGAATCCATTCCTCATGTTCCGCAACGGAGCTCCCTTCTTTCCTGGCTTTTCCGCATACGGCTTATCCGGAATCTTCCCGCAAAGTCCCCTGCGGGCGGCCAACTTTCCGCTATTCTTTCCTAAGCCGCCCCTGGATATTGGTATGCCGGCGATGACTTCGCCGAGGTCTGCGTTCCGCCAACAACTGCCCTTCGGGATACCCGGCATGGAAATGCACCATGGAAGCGGTGATCCCCAAGCAGATTTGAAACTGAAGGACGAAGCGATGGGCTTGAAGCCCGAGAGAAAGCTCAAGGAGGAGCCATTGTTGCACGTATCCGAAGGCGAGGAGGAGGAAGAAAGATCCCTGGAGCTGAAGCGGGAAGTGGGGCAGAGCAAGGTCGAGCCAAAGACCGAGAAGAAGCGAGAGGTTAAAACTGAACCGGAGCGATCGGACAGCCCGGATCAGCAGCAGGTCGAGGACGACCGGGTAAGTAAACATTTTTAAATATTTATTTGAGGTTTTTGACTAATTTTGTGTGTATTTTCTTTAGAAATCCATCGACATTGTGAGCACACCGCCTCCTACGGATCCCACCTCCGGAGAAGACCTAGACAAGCCCTCCGTGGATACCCCTTTGGACCTTTCTGTCTGTCGCAAACCCTACCCAGAGTACTACCCGGAGATCCTGCAACCCGAGAACCGCCTCTTGTCCTCCAACCTGATGCGGTTCCTGCCCAGGAACGAGGAAGACGACACCGAAGGGGAGGAGCCGCCGCTCAAGATGCGAAAGACGCACAGCTCGGGCGAATCCTCTACTTCGCAGAAGTCCTATAAGGGTAGCAGCCCCACGCCCACCGCCTCGCCTGGGCTTACGCCCTCACCCTCGCCGCCCACGAGTGCCGGCGGCGAGCTCAGCAGCATGTCTGAGGGTGCAGTAACGGCAGCAGCGGCGGCTGCAGCAGTAGCGGCCGCTGGAGCTGCAGAGGCCGCATTGGTGGCCCGTTACCAGGGAAGCACCGCTCCACAGATACACCCCCTGATGTTGGAGGAGATCTACCGCAACCCGTATTCTTTTTTATGCCCAACGGGCGGACGGCCCGGCATTGAGGCGCTGCTGCAAAGCGCGGCTTCAAAGCGGCCGCTTCCGCCCGTTAAATTCCCCCCGGGCAACCAAGCACTCAAGACAAAGGACCGGTATACGTGCAAGTTCTGCGGTAAGGTGTTTCCTCGGTCGGCCAATCTGACACGACACCTGAGGACCCACACTGGGGAGCAGCCCTATCCGTGCAAGTACTGCGACCGGGCGTTTAGCATCTCCTCGAACTTGCAGCGCCACGTGCGGAACATCCACAACAAGGAGCGCCCCTTCCGGTGTGAGCTCTGCGACAGGTCCTTCGGCCAGCAGACGAATCTCGATCGACACGTGAAGAAGCACGAGGCAGAGGGCAACAACTTCCGCGACTCGCCCAGCTCGGGAGGAATGGCAGACCGCGAGGAGTACTTCGAGGAGATCCGGACCTTCATGAACCACGTCTACACCCCCAACAGTCTGATTGGGGCGGAAGGGGACACAGAGGAATACCCCAACAGTGACGACCAGTCTGTGAGCCTCGAAAAGGATTCTACCATCACTCTGAACAACAACAACAATGGCAGTAACAGCAGCAAAAGCAATTCAAAAGCTATACCAATAAGCTCTTAAGATCACATAAGAAACGGAAACAAAACCCTGTTATTGTTAATGAAAAAAATTACTTTAACTCTTACTTAAGTGTGCCTCCGAGAGGGAATCTTATCTTTAAGTAGTTACCATTTCCAGAACGAAAACTACTAAACCAAACTAAACTTAGCTATGCAATCAATGGAAAAGACGGTGAAGCATCCAACATAGAACTATACAAGATAATATAATCTAAACGAACAACTTAGAAAGAAACCAGATACCCATGTACTACCCCTACTAAAGTCCACCTTCTAATGTAGTTCATTCATACATCTGTACATAGACATAGATACATATATGTATATGCGAGTTTTAATTTAGCGAGTACTTACTACTTTGAAACTTTGTGGATTATACAATATATATATGGATATATGGATATTTTGATTGTGTATACACTAAGGTCAATAAGTATAAATCGATATACTATGTAAGTAACATATTTATAGAGCTAATTATTGCAATTCTCAACACAAAATCAATTTTATAACATTTACTTAACGTTTGACTACATTAATAATATATATATATATGAGAAAACCAGAAAGGATCGTTACGGAAAATGATAAATCAATATATGAAGGAATCGCATTAAATAATAACATGTTTTCTTGTTTTTATTGAAAGGGTAATGTCTGAGAAGTGAAGATTGGTCGCATTGTTTGACTTGCATGATTTATAGAACATATCGTTCCGAATTGAGACCATAAAACCGCACCCCTAAGACGCCGAGCCTTAATAAAGCGGTTGGAAAAGGTTCATCCGCAGACAATTACCGCATAAAAAAGTCTTTATACACCCATCAATCCTGGCCGCAGACCCACAGTATAATTGTGAACGCATTTGGCCATAAACCAACTCGCCCCATTATTAATCATCGAAGCAAAATTAAAATAAAATAGATCGAAAAAGAAACCAAACGAAACGAAACGAAAAGAAATGAAGCCCGCAACTTATAGCTTTTTAATATACCCAGCCAAACCAAGTCATCTATCCATCCATTTCGGAGCTGCGATCTGAATGCAAAGGCGTGATCGGCAAGCGAGTTAATTACCCTTCCGGTTTAGAGTGTGTTACGCCTTCGGCGAAATGCGGTTAAAACTATGCGATCTATCCATAAGTACTTTTATTTTTCCGTACCGATTCGTGTTTCATTCGTTTTCGTCTTCGCGCGATTTTGTTTGGTCTTTTGTTTTTAACTGAATTTAAATTGTATTAGCCGGGCGCTGTTGCCGTTGGCATCAATCATTTTTTGGCAAAGCTCTTGCCATTTTTTATACTTTTTGGCTCCTTTTCAACCTGTGCATAACCAACCGGCCACCGTTATTCGAGTGGCACACAAAAGATCAGTCAAATAGCTGCGGTTCGGTCACTTTCGATTATGCGGAATACGTTTGGCGTTTGGAGTTTGGCGTTTGGCTGTCGGTAGCCAAAATAATAATCTTCCACCACAATTGGAGTCGGCCGAAGCAGCTCCACACCCCGAGTCAGCCCTCTTTCTGGCCATGGAGCTTCAGTTGGCCCTGACCACAGTCAACTTCCACAAATTGTGCCACAAATTTGAACGCAAAACTGGCCAATTTATGGTAAATTTGTGCAGAAAACAGTAGATAATTGGTAATTGGCTTCACATCTAGTCTGCTCCGCCCTGATCTCGCCTCTAGAAGCGGAATCTGGTAAATTGATATCCGCTCCGATCCGAAATGCGGACGTTAATTGAAGAAGGCATAATTTTCTGTGGGTGACCGACTAAACGAGTAGAATAATATATTCTTGTGTAACTTGTTGTCCAATTATTGAGCTTGGATTATGGTTTTGCGGAGACTCAAGACTACGCGAAAAGGTTAATCTAATCCGAATGGAAAAATTAGCTAATTAAAAGAAATAAACTTTTATGACCATTCAACACACTCACTCAACTCAAGGGTTCTCTCATACCTGATCCACTTACGGTAAGTGCTTTTCGCCACCTTTCCAACTTCCAAAAATGGTTTCTAGATAGGTTTTTAATATGGGAGGATCAAGTAGCTTCACTCCGGCTTCGAGCTGCTTTTCAGCAATCTCTGCAATTACCCCTTCTCCCCGAACACGAGCAACCTTTTCCAGGTCACTCACACCTCGCTGATTACACAGTCCTCGGCTTGCCATGCACTGGGATACACCCAACCGCCCCACCGAGCATCCACGACGGCTCTGCTCCAGCCCGGCCAAATCAGGCAACACATTATGATAACGAGCATGGATAAAGTTCCACGGGAGGACGGGTGGGTGGCGGTTCCCCTGAGTCTGGCCTGGATCATAACGCCCAGACTAAGCAACTGTTGATTATGTGCCAGTTGCACAAATGGCCTTTGTTGCGCCCCAGTTACACGCCCAGTTACAAAAACGGATCGAATCGGGTCCGTATCCCTCGCCCAAATGGTGGTTATCACTCAAAAAACTTTTCGCGGAAACATTTTCTGGAGGATCGAAGGGTTAGATGGATCCCTCAGCCCCATGTGTCCTCATGTGGGTCCACTAGGTAAGTTCAATAACTAATAAGAATGGAAAAGTAAGATAACTTGGCAAGTTTTTTCGCGAGTGTGGGTGGAAAGGCGCATCAGTGCCCACATTAGGAGGGACCGTTAAATACGACTTTCGAAAGGCAGGAAAAATGGGAACCAAAACGGATGCAAAAATGCAGGCGCATTTCGGGGGCGGTGGCGCAGTGAAGGGCGGACGGCTACTCCGCAGTTGGCCAAGACGTTAATGGCACAATTATGGGCAACGAAGTCGGGCAAACGAAAGACGTGCAAAGCGCAGAGCAGCAAACAGAATCTAGCCGAAGGATATCACGCGTATCCCATTGATCCATGAAGACCCACATTGCCGACTTCGGCTAACTGTTGTTCATAACTTGGCCAAGACTGCTGCCGAGTGATTGCTTTTCGAATGCTCTCACTTGGGGTCGCTTCCCTGGTTGCTGATGCTGGGAAGGCTTCAAAGGATGCCACTATTTAAAATAATACAACTTTTAATTGTCTCGCTGGTCCAGACAAACCTCTAAAAATCCGCATATAGATTTAAGTTGTTATACCTCGATAGGAATAATATATGTATTTGTTTTTGGCCGTAAAAACCTAATTCGTTTCAGTTAAGAGCAAAACAATGGTTGGAAACTTACCCACTTTGCGGAATAATATGCAGATACATACATAATGGCGATGTACCCACTTCCAGAAGTATATATGTATGTACACACATATACACACATACGCGTGCGGCAGCGAAGCATCCGGCATTTCCATTATGTGGATTATCAATATTTAATTAGAAACACTTGTAGCATTTTAATCATTGTGTTTATAATTATTATGATAGTATTTGACAGTTATTACATAATGTTAAATCATAGTTTTTATCACGCACAAATATCAATGTTAAAAAGTTGTAGCCAATGGCGTCGCACACATGCACGCTCGTTGCCCGGACGGAGTACCATTACAGATGGGCAAAATATTAATAATATGCTTGGCCGAATCAATGGTACTAATATGCATTCACAGGAAAAACACCTCGATCTTCGATCTTTTATCAGACAATACAATATTCTTAAACATTCTGGAGCCGTGACGCCACCCACACACGCGCAAGATGTCGTCCCGCGGGAACATCAGTAAGGTAAAGGTTTTTGCCGAATTGACAATGGAATCCGATTAGAAATATTTAATCCCGATGACGTAATTGTTTTAAGTTGGATTGATCCGGCGTTCAACACTTTTCACGATAGTACAAAAACAAATATCAATGTTTAAAAGTTTAGCAAAATGGAGTCCCACAGACACATGTTGCACGCGTTGCCACTAGCCACTTGAGGATGAGCCTGAAGATTTTTGTTATCGATATTGTCCAGAATGAATAATATTTTTTAAACAGTAAAAATTACTTGGAGAAAATTATTAGTACGAGCTTTAACTACATAATTTTAATATCGGAATTTTTTGTGGGCAAATTCGTGGTGGCTCACCTGAGACAGGTATGGCAAGACAATAAGAACCCTATAGGAAGAGGTTAATTTCTAAAATTAAATAAAAAACCCTCGCAAATTTAAATTATCTTAGTTTAGTTAGGGATATTAAATATATTCAAAAGCTATTTATCGTTCTGGAAGATATCGATACCAAAAATATTAAGGTTCGTCCTCAATCAAGTGCCCAGTGGCAACCCGTGCAACATGTGGCTATATGGTGCCATTTTCTTGAACTTGTGTTAGCATTGATATTTGCGCTTAAATATGTACATACTATATATCTATTATCGCGAATAAAACGGCTCATAAATCCAACAAGAAACCTATAATTAAACCAATTTGAGTATATCTGTTCGAAATCACTTTGATTTTGGCATAAAACTTTAACTTACTGATGGCCCTGGGTGGCGACACCTTGCGCATGTGTGGGTGGCGTCGTGAGATTAGAATGTCGAAGAATATAAAAGATCTAGAAATAAAAGATCGAAGGTCGCTTGTTTTTCTTGTGAATACATAATATTATTATTGATTGTGCCAAACATATTATTGAGTATGTTGCCAAACTATAATTCTCTTCCGTGCGCATATGTACATATGTACATAAATGCAACGTGTGTGTATCTGTGGCGACGCCATTGACCCAAACATTTTAACGTTAATATTTGTGCGTAAAAATATTTGCCGGGAAAAGTGTTAAAAACTATATTATAAAGATCAAAAATCCATGATCAAATCAATATAAGCCAATAAGTATATTTGCGAAAATCCAATCGGTTTTGCGGGTGCTCCGATGCGCCGGGAGTGTGTGTGTGTTTTTGGAAGCGTCTCAGCTGTACATACATACATATGTACTTCTGGATGTAGGTACAGTGTCTGTATGAATCCCAATATGAATCTGCAAAGCGGGTAAGTTTTCCAACAATAGTTTTTCTTTTAATTGGAAAGCATTTTCCAAGGCCGTTAAGTCTACAACTGCGTGTTTCAAAGTTTTTATATTGCTTTCATATTTTAAGTTATCCACACAGTTTTTCTTGGCCAGTTGTGTTGAGGCCTAAGCAAACAATTATAAAGGCCTAACTGTTTAAGTGTGACTTTAGCAAAGACAGCCCGAAATGTCTTGGGAAGTGCATTTCAATTTCGGCTTCTGCCTGTTGATCCTCTTCTTCCTGGCGTTTTGCGGCCGTTGAAGCAGCGACCAGGGGGCAATCAGTCAGCAGATGTTTTCATTTCCTACTCCGGCATCGGCATCGCAAGAGCAGCGGCAGCCAAAGCCCCAAACTGGGCAAAAAGGGTACTCAAGGCGCAGATGTTTGGCACAGTTTCGTGAAGCAAATTGCGCACACAGTGAGCCCAGCGAACGCCCGCCGCCCCCGAGGCAGCCCAACCCCGGCCCCCTGCACTCCACCCCTCCGATTTTCCCGACTGCCACTGATGGAATCAAATATTGTGCAAACTACAAGAGCCATCCGAGGGGCATCGAGCGTTAAACGGGATGTTGAATGTAAGTCAGACAAGCCACTACTTCGGCATTTGTATCTGTATCTGCAAGCTCTAAGCTTGAAGCTGAGCCATGTC